CGATTGTTTAATATAAACGCGTTCTAACGCATTTATGAGATGCGTTTGGACGCGGTATAATAGTATTTGCAATGTCAAGCGCGTTTACACGCGTTTATCCTGCGTTTCAGAGTTACATGGGTAGTTCAAGGTAAAAACCAGTATTTAAACCACACATATCACCATCCTTATACAAATAACATGGTCCGAAACTCACATATTTAGTTGTTAAATCGTTATCACAAGCCTCAGCTGGAGTGTTATATGGTAAATAATGTCCCGAATCATCGCCAGCTCTTGCTTCCATACTACTGCCACCCATAACTGTATGATGTACACCTTTAACACTTTTCTTCACAGCAGCAAGTGATACTTGACCTAGAATATTATTACAATTACAGTTGCGATGAGAAGCATTTCTTTCACTAAACTATACCTTCTTCTGTAATTATACTTGATCCAGTGATCATTGTTGTTGTCGTCATCACCGTTGGTGTTAATGCTATTAACGAAGATGAGCGTGTTTTGTTCCTTCTAACAACAACTATCGGGATCAGAATATTCAACATGACTAGTACAACAACTAAAACGAATACTGTGGCACATAGAACTTTTCTCTTTCGATCACTCAAATATCTAACGAAAAAAATATTACAGATTTTCTTCTTAGTGATTACTTTTTATAAAACAATCATACGAAGTGTGTGTTGGTTCGCCCATGTTTTGACCGACTAAACTAGGATCGATCGAAGGAGACTAAAAAACAAGAAGAATGAACATTAAATGTAGTCTAGAATGTTACATTGTGAACTTTGACGACATTGTGCGTAACAACTGTAATTCTATTCGTTTTCATCTTTGCATAAAATCAAGAATGATTCAGAGAATGACAAAGTTAAAGTTTCATGTTTGATATTATTGCACAGGGCATGTTTTTTATTTGACTTGTTGCCAAATAACAATACGTCAGAATCTAGGAGCATGTATACCCACATAAAATAATCAACATCTTGCTTATAAATGATGGATCTATGAATATAGAAATCCGGTTATCGTTGACGTCAGATGAATAGTTTTATTAACTAAATCTGTATGATTCTTGTTCTCTTTCATCGCGTAGAACAAGAGGTTTGTCGAACGGAATGTCTACTATAAAGAAATACTTTCTCAATCTGAATTTATTTGCACTCTCGTCCGATTCTAACGAAACACAAACTGATCAACACCGTCGATGGAACATTATTGGTACTCGCGTCTACCTCATACTTCTCACGTTAACTCTTGTCATTCTCACGCTTATCATATCTTTACTTCGACAAACGACCATCATTATCATCAAGAGTCCGACACGCGAGCAATTCGACCCTCTCCCTGCCGATGCAACGTGTTCCTGTTCACAAATATCGATTCCGTATGGTAAATTTGTTTCGTTGAACGCGAGTTTTCATCAAGTATGTTCGAGTGACTTTGTCAGCGATCGATGGATTAAAGCAATTGACTTTCGAGCACAATCGGAACTTGACTTCCTAAGCGATTTTCGAGCGTATGGCAGTGCTCAATTCCAGATGCTTGCTGTATTCTGTCGTTTGTCGAAGTCAACGATCGAATATAGGAGATCATCTCTTTTTCAAAGTACAATACTAAGTCCACAAGTTCTCAAAAAAGATGATCTTCAGTTTCATGTCAAAGAAGTCGTTAACCAAGTGAAACTCAAAGCGCCAAAACTTTTTCAATCTCAAATTCGATTGATCAACGAAATGGTGACTAACAACCACTTGGTAACGGCATTGATGAGCAATTTCATATACCATTATCAGAGTCCTAAGCTCAATATACTGTATTTAAACTATGATGAAGTGAACGGTAACACTTGTGAATGCGACAATTGGCTCGGCTGTCGTAAAGTACTAGCATGGTTTTTCAAGATTGCTCCAAATTCATATACTCCAACATTTTACTATCCGGTATGGTCGATACCCGGAATTTCTGATGGCTGCTTACCGACATATTCCTTACTTCTCTCAACACTCGAATGTTTTTACGATCAGCTTTGTGTAGACGAAATCATGTCGTATTTTCCAACAAATCAAACATTCAAAGCCATGACCCCTTACATGCAGAGTATCTTCACCTCAGATTCAGATGTGCAAACGATAGTTGCCGGTCTGATGATTGAGCAATGGATGACGAATATGTCCTATGATGAATATTATCAAGAATGTGCACCATCTTCGTGTAATTATTTGCACATATCTCGACGTGGTTTTGTTTACGCTTTAGAAAAAGTGGTTAGTTTATTACCTAGTTTGATATTGATGTTTGAGCTAATTATTTCGCTTGCTATTCGACTGATTTTAAAAATCAAAGATCGAACACCAATACAACGGATGTCTTGTAAGTGGAGATTTAAATTACCACTCTCGGTTGACGCTTTAGCTAGAGAGAAATTCCAGAGAGATAAAATAGTGCGACGTCCGTCTTTTCTAAGATCAAACTAGATTATTTTCTCTTTTGTCTATGTTTAGTCAAAAACCGCTTACGAAGTCTGAAAAACTTCACTGAAAAGATTATGATCGAACTAAATATTTTCAAGCGAGATCGTAGCACTCATCAAGAAGTCCGTTTTCAACGCTATGCAACGCGAATCTATATATGTTTATTGATCGCGATGACAAGCATTTTCACATTTTATACATTCTTGACAAAGTCGCCACAATCGAAAACTGTACACGATCCAACTGAACTTCAGTTTATCTACCTTGAAAAACAATATCCACGATCATTGTCATGTTCGTGCAGTTCGGCGCTTATACCTTATTCCGATATTATAAAAATCCAACCTCAATATCATCAATTATGTACGAGTGATCTGATTTCTGATAGATGGATCAAATACATAGATGACACGCACTCTGCTACTCAGCTGCCTATCGACTACCGCTTTGTCGGCAGCACGTATTTTAAATTATTATCGATAGTTTGTCGATTGGCTAATGAAACGATTACTAATGCACTTGATATATTTCTTCAATCACAGTTCATCAGTTCACAAGTGATATCCGAAGAACTATTTGAAAATCAGATGAACTCGCTGATCGAAGACTGGAAAGCGACAACTCTGAATACGTTCAAAAGCACTATTCAGTTAATACGCCAAAGTATAGATGGAAATCAGTTAATTAGTGCCGATCATAATTTCTCGCCTGTTTTACGGCGCGACTCCAATGGAAATTTATTCGAATGGTCATATCTTCCTGAATGTGATTGCATTTTAAACAGATCTTGTCTTTTTCCGATAACAATTCTATATTTCATAGAAGTTCCCTATGTTGAAGAATTTACGGTTCCAAACATCTTTCGTGGTTGCTATCCAATACATGGATTATTTTCATCAACATTACAGTCATTTTATAATCTTTCAATCATGACAACAATGCACTATATTCTATATAATCAAACGTCATTCGATTTTTCACCTCTCGATCCGAATCTAAGTTCATACACGGAAACAATCGAAACGCTTGTCAATCGAATGATGATCGATGGCTGGCCATCAAATGTTTCCTTTGCTTCTTATTTCAACATCTGTGCACCACATGCTTGTTCTTATCAGTACCAAGGTCGCAGCGATCTCTTCTTTATCATCGCAACCATCATAAGTGTCTTCTCTGGCATATCACTCGGACTGAACATTATCATACAGATTCTTCTTCAGTTGATTTACAAACTTACCACCTTCGGATTGTCTCGTTCGATTCTTCGACAGCTATTCACTTGTGACAATCAAAGTAGAATCATTCGTCGACTTCACATTCTCCTCGTTATTGGCATTCTCACTGGATTCTGTATGTTCTCGGCATTCACTCCTCGTCTTATCACCGTCCAAGTGAACAAACCTTCGTTACCTATCTACAAAAATCTACTCCAGCGATCTTCTTATACTTTGGAATGTTCTTGTTCACAGTTGTCAGTCAAACACAAATCATTTCTCAACATCACACCTATTTTCCATGCGATCTGTTCGAGTGAATTTGTGTCTAATGAATGGATCTCGTATCTGTTTCACAAGAAGTTCTCCGAGGATCAGATACCGGCGAGTGACTTTCTCTATTCAGCTGTTGGTCAATTTCAGTCACTTTCATTGATTTGTCAGCTGTCAAAAGAGACAGTGATGGATGCGATTCTTCAATTAGGAATAAGTGACTTTGTCAATAATCAACTGTTATCATTCGATGCGTTACATAATCGAATAGAAACAATGGTGAAGGAATTCCAATTAACAATGCCTGAGACATTTGTGAATAGCTTTTCGATTGTTCGTGGGATAACGAATGGTAACATGCTGATGTCTGTCTATATGACCAACTGGGTAATGAATATTGATCATGTTTTTGAGTACAGGCACCAGCCACATATCGTACCATTAACTTACGATAAATGCAGTTGTTCATCTTCAGCTACATGTACAAGTTCATCACGAGGAATGTTAACTGGTTGTTATCCACTCGAAGCACTTCTGCAATCAACATTGTCTTGTCTCTATGATCAACAGTGTATTGACCCAACAAGTACTTTTAAAGCAATGAACATGTCTTCTGCACTGTTAACCAGTCGATTTGCATTGAATGAAACCATCGAGTCACTTGTGAATAGTCTGATGGTCGAAAAACTGATGCACACTGTGAGTTATGAAGACTATTTCGAAGCGTGTTCTCCATCATTGTGTGTGTATTCATATGTTGATGAGCGAAATATGATCAATGCAGTGACGACACTGACTGGTCTGTTTGGTGGTGTGGCTGTGATCTGTCAATTGGTTGCAATGTTCATAGTGAAGCGAATGTGTAAAACAAGTTAAATAATTATTGATTCGATGCTTCTCCGAATTTATGTGTAGCTTATTGTAGACTTTCTGTTTTTGAATATGAATAAATGAGTAGCAATACATACCGCCAAACTAATGATAAAGATGTTTCTATAATGTTGAGGCAAAAAAACCGATTTGATGGGAATTTATTAAATAAAATATGTTTAGGTATGTGGAAAATAGCGGAAAACGTTATAGATTTCGCAAAATTGCGAAACCTTTGTCAACTTCAGCCTGTGTGTCTTTTAAAAGTTGAATAAAGTCTTGTCTTGAATGGTCATCATCGGATAAGATTTGAGCCGTCACTTCAATTTTTGGATAATTCTGGCTCAATGTTGTGAGTACACCGCGCATTTCTACCAAAGTACTTTTAAGATGATTTAGTTCAGCTTCATGTTGAGCGACATGTGCCATCACTGCCGGTGCTGCAGTAGCAACAGTCACTGATCCCGCGACAACCAAGTACGCCTTCATTCCTGTTGTAAAGCCCACACTTGTGAATCGAGCTACTGCAGCACCGATTCCTATAGAACAACCACTAATAAGCGCAAAAAGACCAAGAATATTTCTCAATCGTTTAAGTGCTTGTTGATCTTTAAGTTTTTCTTGAAGAATTGGATTGATTTTCATAAATTTCTCCAATAATGCTCCGACAGTCGAGCACATGTCTCGTATCATCTGGATATCGATCGATGCCATTAATTCAGTTGATGTTCGAGCTCGAGCAGCTAGTATCAGCGCTCTTGTGAGAAATCGTTGACTTGTCGTTAGTAGTTCGTGATATTCAAGGAATGCATTATATATTTGGTTCTGTTCCTCCGCGCTGAACTCTGACATTAGCGGTTTTAATGCATCTTGAAATTCGCCAAGAACTTCAGCCGCTGTTCGTGTGATATCTCGCATTCCAGTGCCAACTGCGTGAACAGTATTTCGAAAATCTGGTGATGAATTTCTCGGCTCATCGTCAGCTGTAGCCGTTACTTCTCTTCGTCGTGTGCGCGTAATCGTTGCCATCCTAATTTATGCTGGAAGAAACGTTCATTGTAGTCAAACAGCACTGGGAAAATTCCCGAAGTAAAAAAAAGAAAATCTACCAATCGTTCTAGTCTAATATGTTCATTATGTCGACAGCAATAACTATGTGTAGCAAGGAAAAAAAACGTGAATTCTTCTTTATTACATCTGAAATCGAGATAATGATTGAACAATATTTTCTTTCAAGTACCAATCGTTAAAAACTAACTCCATTTCGTTCACTGTCATTGTTCCAAAATTGTAATTCCTATAATCTTCAAGTACTTTAAGAAATTCTTCTTTGGAGACAAATGGTTTCCGAAACCGAACAGCAGTGGCATGTGCTGCTTGCATTAGATACCGTTTATCAATATCCTGTTGTAACGAAGAAGCTTTAAATGCTGATTTGAGTTTATTGCGAACTTCATTAAATGAATTCTGTTGTGGAAACCCTTGAATCATAATACATGAGGACGAAGCTGTAATACCTTGAAACTTAATCTCTAATTTTCCGTCTATTGAGAGGTTCTCACGGATGAGATCAGCATAATCTTGAATTGAAATTTGATCTAATTGAAATCCGTCATGACATGAAATAATTGGTAGAACAGTGATATGAATATCAGATGAGGGATAGTAGTACTGATCGGGTTCGATTCGGCGCAAAGCAGCAAGAAACTTTTGAATTTCATCTTTGATTTGTTCATTCGGTTTGATGATCAGCGTTATACCAAACCTTTTATCATCTAGTGAATCGATCATACCATCCGTCTCATACTGGTCAGATTGTATTTTGTCAATTGCACTCGTATATAGCTGGTTGTAGATATTGGTTAATTCTGCTGACATTTGTGATTCAATTATCAGTAACGTAAAACGTACGAGAAGTGAAATATAAAAGAAAAAGGGTTATTTACACGAACCACGTGGAAGAAAAGGAAAGGAAAGGAGAGAAGAAAAGATATTCTTTCTTTTACCACGAAGTCGGAAGGCCATTGAATCATGTTGTGTGTGTATTCGAATATTATGTGTCGGTGTAAAGCGTTTCAAATTTAACTATCTGGTACACGTTGGTAGTTTGATATAGCTATATAACGAGATCATTCAATACAACACATACACAGAGCGAAATAGATTTGTTCACTTCGGTAATTATTACAGAATCATTCGTATAATGATAATTATTTAAACAGAAAGACTATGTGCTAGGTCTCACGTACATTCCGCATAATCGCTGATGATTTCTTCTTTTCATCTATTCCGATTCTTTGTGTTACGCAGAAACACAAAACGCATAATGAGACCGAAAATACTTTCCAATTAGCGGACGTTGCGGGCAGAAATTAGTGTGAGATAAACAACGATTATCTGTAGATTAAAAAGTATATTTTATGACACAGAAGTTGTCCTTGAAATCAAGAAATGTCCTCCATTGACGACACGATCAACCAAATAAATGCTGCAATAGTATCAATTGTTATCGCTGTATCATTTATCAATTTGACTCTCGGTACAATTGGCCTAGTATTTAATGTAATAATCTTCACCAGACCATCGCTTCGCAATGAACCATGTTCACTCTATTTTTTCTCGTCGACATGCTTCAATTTATTTGTCATATTGGTCATCGTACCGATACGCATTGCTTCCGAAGGATTTAATACGGATATCACAAGTTACAATATCGGAATTTGTAAGCTTGAATTCTTTGTCTTTTACGTCGTACGAACAATACCTTGCTGGTTAATTGTCTTGGCGTGTGTTGATCGTTATTTGAAATCATCGACAAAAGTACACATCCGCCGATTGAGTTCATTAAGAACAGCGAAGATAGCTATTTATTTTATTGTCAGTGTGCTCATTATTCTTCATATTCACATGCCGATCTACTATGAAATTACGCGTACATTTGATGGATACGGGAATCTCATACCTGCATGCTATGGTCAAACAGGGTTCTATCGTAAGTTCATTGCCTTTTGGAGTATGGCGTCTTATTCACTTTGCCCATCTCTCCTAATGATTCTTTTCGGCATGTTAACAGTTAGAAATGTTCATCTATCTGGGAGGATACGTTCAGAAGTCACATCTCGACGCATAGACCGTCAACTCGCATGTATGTTGACTGCTCAAGTACTTGCCATCGTTTTTTCGACCTTACCATTCTCTGTATATCGACTGTACGCGTCATTTACTGCGAGCTTACCAAAAGATGCCACTCGACTCGCTTGGGAAAATTTGGCTTTCAAAAGTGCAAGTGTACTGACATATTTTGCTCACTCGACAAGCTTTTATTTGTACACACTGGCAGGTACAATCTTTCGTAAAGAACTCGTTAAAATCGTTCGGCGGCATTTGTGGAAGAGAAACGAAATACATCGCACGTTGAATTTACATGGTCAACAACAATCTGAAAAAGTTCAGAAAGTGATTAAGAAACACGAAGCTACTTCAAAAGATAGATATGGATGCATTGCCAAGAACCGAACTGAACTATAAAAGTATCATGATTTCATTAGTTTTTTGCTAGAGAAAATAAATGAACTACGCAAAAAAATGCAGTACTATGCATACAAAAGGACAATGATCATTGAAACTTCTTCATTAAAGTACAGTTGATAGTCAATTTGTGTTAAACTCAATAGTATTAACGAGAAAAAGTCTATATTGACGCTTCAGGATTCAGAGATCGCCATTAGTTCAAGATATACGTTGTTCACCTAGAGATGACGCTATCTAAATTCTTTGACAACAGATCTTAACATAGGTAGTGTATAAATTTCAAAGCATAAACGTTCGACTCTACAAAATTAGAGTAACTGGGAATGTAATTAAGCTTTCTGCAAATACTGGCGGTTCGGTGGAATAAAATGCATAGATGATAATATAATTTATATCGTAAGAATTCCCTGAATTTTCCTAGAAAAACTCCGAATGGGCAATGAAACGTGAACAGATAATGTTCAAGAGAGCATGATTCAACCAAAATCAGCGTTGACATTCGTGATATTTTGACTTGCGCAAGTGATACTATGTTTTTCTATGCTCAATCAACAAATAGCACGTGCTTGTGCGATTATTTAGTCGCCTATGCTAATTTACAAAAGAAGAAGTAACGCTTTAAAAGTTCTTTTATTTTGCCATACAGAAAACCGTTGGTGTCATTTGCATACATTTTTTGGGATAATCAGTTCACACTGTACTGCGACTACAGTCACATGCTAACTCAGGATGACTTTCATTTGGTTGTTTGTCTTTCTAGTAATTCGTTCGACGAAAGGTACGTAGCTCATGATCTTTTTAATCGCGACACACTCTTAACAGCTGATCTTCCTATCGAATAAGTGAACAAGTTGCTGAGTGGTTATTGATCAACACACTTTCTGGTTCAGGTCAAGAAAAAATGATAGTTTTATATACGATCGCCTACTCAGAAAATAATGATAAAACTCAATTGATATTTAGGTGTTTCTTACAACCAACCCAAATTTTGTCCATTGGTATCATGGCAATCTGACGCAATTACGTTGGCCAATATCAGCACTATTGGAAATCATTCTATTGGCATATTTATCGACAAAAATAATATAGTATATGTAGCTACTAGACGTCTCCATACGATTCTAATATGGCCTGAAGGAAATATCAATCCAACTAATATCACAATTGATAATTCTACCTTTCCATTCGGTCTTTTTGTTTCAACTACAGGGGATATATATATCGACAATGGCCAGGCTAAAAAACGAGTCGAAAAATGGACGATGAATGCAACGACGGGAGAACCTGTCACTGACGTCCCAAGCGCCTGTATAGGGCTCTTTGTTGATTCCAACAATACTCTTTACTGTTCACTTTACTATCTAAATCAAGTTCTTAAGAAATCGCTGGACAATAGCGCAAATATAGTGATTTTAGGCAATGGTTCTAATGGTTCAGAACCAGATATGTTCAATCATCCATACGGAATTTTCGTTGATACGAATTTTGCTTTATATGTTGCGGATAGTTACAATCATAGAATCCAATTATTCGAAGCGGAAAAAACTGAAGGAATCACACTCGTTGGATCCGGTGGAAAACAAAATGTATCACTCTCTTTCCCAACTCATGTTGTGCTAGATGCCAATCGATATCTATTTATTGCCGATTTTGGAAATCATCGTATTATTAGAGTTGGAGCCAATAGTTTTCAATGTCTCGTAGGATGTTCAAATTCACCAGGTTCAGCCTCAAACCAATTATTTCACCCAGTAAGCCTCAGTTTTGACAGTTATGGAAACATGTTTGTCATGGATTGGACAAATAATAGAATTCAGAAATTTCGTTTGGCAACTAATTCTTGCAGTAAGTCTTCAAAATATTTTCTTTTTTCTTCTAATAAAGAACGAGACATATTCCCTGTAGATGTGTCCTACCATCAACCAGACTTTTGTCCGACGGCTTCGTGGAAGCCAAACGCGATAACAGTTGCAAACGCTAGTTCAATTGGTCACCAGCTCTATAGTATATTTATTGATATTGACAACAATATGTATGTGACAACGGGTTCCCGTAATGAAGTTCAAGTTTGGTTAGCGAGACAAAGCAGTTCAAACGAAGTTCTTTCTCTCAATATATCGCATCCAACCAGCATTTTTGTTTCTATTACTGGTGACATTTATGTTAGCAGTGGCCTAACACAACAGGTAGAACAATGGAGATTAAACTCGACAAATCGGATTTCTGCCATGAACTTCAATACAGATTGTTTTGGTCTTTTCGTAGACATTGACGACAACATATATTGTTCACAACAAGCTCCACATCAAGTGGTTAAGAAGTCACTAAGTAAATTTACAGATAACTATACGATTGTTGCCGGTAACGGTTCTTCGGGTTCATCGGCAAATACGCTTTTCAGTCCGCACGGAATCTTTGTCGATATGTACTTAAATCTTTACGTAGCAGATTTCATCAACAATAGAATTCAGCTATTTGAATCGGGGTGTTTTGATGGAAAAACTGTAGCGGGAAATTCATCTGTCGAGAAGACAATTACACTCAAAAGTCCAACAGGAGTTGTACTTGATAAGAACGGATATCTATTTATCGTTGATCAACAACATAATCGAATAGTTGGATCAGGACCGAATGGCTTCCGTTGTTTAGTTGGTTGTAGTGGTAGTGGCGGCTCTGCAGCTGATGCATTATATTCACCATACGATCTCCGCTTTGACAGTCATGGAAATATGGTTATAGTAGACAGGAACAATGGACGAATTCAAAAATTCTTTCTTGAAAAACATTCCTGTGGTAAGAGAAAAAACAAATTCAGCAGAATATACATTTATTTGTGTTGTTTAGTTTCGTCCTATAATCAACCGAAATTCTGTTCATCTGCAACATGGGATCCCAATGGCACTACTTTTGCTTCGCAGGAAGTAGTTAGCAACGAAACTTATGCAGTGTTTGTTGATACTAGTAATACAATTCATACAACTGATCATAACTCGCACAGTATTCGTATGTGGCTACAGGGTAATGACGATGCGACAGAGACTATCACCATTAATTCATCCAATCCACGAAGTATATTCGTGACAGTTAATGGTGATATTTATGTCGATAATGGTCAAAACAAACGAGTAGACAAATATTCGGTGCATAGAAGAAATGGTATGCCAGCTATGAGCGTTAATGTGGAAGACAGATGCTTTGGTATTTTCGTCGATACTAATAATATGCTTTATTGTTCTATCAGAGACTATCATCAGGTCGCTAAAAGATCTCTCTATGACGACGCAACTAGATCAGTGGCTGCTGGAAGTGAGGAAAAAGTTTCTGGGTCATCTCTTCAATTGCTAAATAAGCCTAACGGAATTTTTGTGACAGCTAACTTCGATTTGTACGTAGCTGATGCGGGTAATGATCGAATTATGAAGTTTTCGGTGGGGTACAAAGATGGACAGGCAAAAGCAGGAAATGATGAAACCAATAAACTCAACTATCCAACTGGAATCATACTTGATTTTGATGAAAATCTATTCATTCTTGACAGCAACAACGGGCGTATTGTTACGTCAGGAAACAGTGGCTTTCGCTGTTTAGCAGGCTGCAAAGGAAGCGCCTCGACATCAAATCAATTGAAGGATCCACGTAGTCTTAGTTTCGACAGTTTCGGTAATATTTACGTTGCTGACAAAGGCTATAGTCGAATTCGGAGATATCTTTTTGAAAAACGCTCTTGTGGTGAGTAATGAGCACCATTAGAGTTCGCATATATTTCGCACCTTGAAACTTCCTTTCTTTTAGATATATCTGACATGATAACCACCGCAAATTCTGACAATATCGGTAGATGTATTTGATTTAATTTGATTTTGACTGTATATGCTTTTAGATTTGGCTTCAACCTTTCCATCTGAAACGATCGCAGCACCTCAAACAACTATAAGCAAGCTTTCTGAAATAGTTCCTCTCGACTATATTTTCTTCTTCACTACTCAGGTAAGATTCGGTCACAACACGTATTCACACCAACTTGTGATAGTCCCGCACACATCGGATCTACATGCAATTTACCCAATTCCCCATGTGACCTGTTAAAACCATGTCAAAACAACGGCACATGTACAAACGATGAAACAACACTGAAAGGATATTTTTGCTCATGTTTCGATTACTTTAATGGTACCGAATGCCAATATGATCATCGATTATGCCGGTCAGATACATGTTGGAACAACGGTAAACTGACTTTCATTTCATGCGAAAGTTAGTCTCTATATATTTCTTTCGTAGGTACCTGTACAACAATACAAAATAAAACATTTCAATGCGTATGTCTAGATGGTTGGCAAGGAGCGCATTGTGAAAGAAAAACCAATTACTGTGAGAATGTGACTTGCTCAAATAACGGTGTATGTCGAACATTATTATTGAATTACACGTGCGAGTGTGTCAGTGAAAGTTATTCCGGTCGACATTGCGAAATTATCTCAACGAAGATAGTCATTATAAAAGTTGTTTCGAAATCGTTCGCTTATGTAGCAATCCTGGCAATGATAGTTGTCGCTGTATTCATTGTTGTCATGGATATTTTAAAATATGGCTTTGGAATTGATCCAGTTGCTGAAGAGCGAAGAAAACTTCGACGAGAAAAACAACTGAAAAAACGTAAACCTGTTGTTCAACAATTTGTATATGTCAATGCATCGTCATCGTCAAGTAACGATCGAGCTGCAATGGAGGCAGAAACAGCTGTTTGAAGAAACAATATTTTAGCATTATATTTGACATGGAAAAAGAAATTTAAACATCTTCAGGATGAGGACATGAGTGAAAGTGTTTGTAACTACTGAATAATAGGCCAGGGTGAATGTGATAGCCGAATGAAAGTGTACAACATACCTGTTGTGATTGGCAGAAGACACACTTTCAAGAGAAAGATTTTGTTGTTCATATAGATGCTTTTTGGATTCAAAACAATATTTCAATCGGTTTATTTTTCGTTTGTGTCTTTATCGTGATCATCAGTGATTTGATAAAATTTTCGACATATTCCACAACAATTTCCATGCATATTTCGTAATGTATCTTTCATTCTATTGGCAGTACGCTTCTGAACTTTTACTTTATCTTTACAAAATTGAACGAAATAATCCTTTTGATTTGACAATTGTGTATTTCTCTCCATATTGAACAACTGCACACTGATGTAACACTTCGCGTTTCGTAATGAATTCATCATCGCTAAATCAAACGGTGTGTGACCATTGAAATCTTCAATCATGATTGATTTCTCATCCATATTTTCTAATAATAATGATACACATTTGACATGACCATATTCACAAGCGAAATGCAAACACGTGTTTGACGATCGACGATAGCATAAGAATTTCTTAAATTTAATTTCATACTCCGACGTTTGATCAATAAATTCAAACATTCAATACTATTTTCCATACAGGTCCAATGCAATGGCGTATGCCCATATTTATCAATGATATTCACACCGATTTGACAACTATTATCAAATTCATTTAATATATATGATAACAATTTGTCATAACCGCGTAGAGCACAAATATATAATAAACTAATTCCATTATCATCGATGATTGTATTGATGTCTACCTGATCCTTTTGAAGATTGGATAATAATTCTTTAATATTTGTTTCGTTACTATAACATTAGTTTAATCACTCATTTGCGCGATGTTCTTCTTCGTTATCAGCCAAGTCTGATGCCATTCACTGAAACACCAAAGTAGTTTGATCATGCACTTTACGGAGAGAAGAAAAACAAGTAGTCTCCTTGATTTCCATTTGTCAATGATAGATCAACGAACGCTTTTTTTGTCAGTTCTGTGCAGATAGTATCGCATACGCGCATGGTAGGAAAAAACCGTCAACGGATTTGCTGGTCATGCCGTAAGCAAGCAGAGGCAGATAAGAATATTGTCTTTGCCTATTGTCAAGCTTTTCGGAGAGGCCAGAGCGTATTTCCTCAAGGTCATGAAGAACAGAAGTAAAATACCGGGAAGAAACTCTGATCGAATGATTGTATATGTCTGTTGTTTGTAAAAGTAATTTTTTGTTGCGAGCGGATGGCAATTTCAACGTGCTACAATAACTTGTTTACCCTATATAACTGTTTCTGTACTGAATATCTGTCAGTGTCAAACTCGCTGTCGAACACAAGTGTAATGCAAGACTGCTAGTTTCCAGCAATCAAATGCTAGCTGTCAATTGTTTGATAGTTGAGTTACTCAAAACCATACGTGAGGGTGTGTCCATATCAGATTGGAATCGTATGATCTTATCTCCAGTGAGATTTCAAACAAAAACCAGTCATGATTTCGAGATCCAGAAATCAACTCGTTTATCCAAAGAAAATCAAACTATAAGTGTCATTCATCTTTTCTTATCCCAAATAATATACTTATTTTTACAGAATAAAGTTCAACTACAACAACAGCCTATGGTAAGTAACACATGACAGTTACTACTTTCTTTATAATTTTGAAATTATGACGCTATAGTAATTCGGAAGAATCGATGTTTTACGTCACTGTTTCCGAACATCGAACAACATGAATCAGTGTTTGTCAAAAACAATGCGATTGAAGGCATATTTTTTCGACTTAGATAAACATTCAAACGCACTCTTTCGCTTCAGAATATGTGAGGACTGACCGTTCGCTATTTAGATCATTTAATGAATTTTGTTAAATATGATTTGAACTATCGAGATATAAAATCTAACTTAGAATGCAGTCATGGGACATTTCTTTCAAATGTCTTTTACGCAGCACTTCCGTATCAAAGAGACGTATGCACTCCAGATAATCAGGAGTTCGCAACTATGTTGATACTGTAGCACTCATCAGGTTTTAGTACATGCAGAAACGAATAAAGAAAAAATCAATAGATCATTTTCTGGGTTATGCATAATGTATTTTACCGATCTTGTGTGAAGAAGCATAACATCTTTAAAGAACGCCGAAGACTTCGAATGTGCTCATTAAATCTTATAATCACTTTAATCTTTATCATTTTGTTCTTCATAGTACCCTGCATCGTATATTTCAATTACACCACTTATGCAACTGCCATTAATCCGCAAGCATTAGCAGTTCATGATCGAAACAATGACTCAGTACTCGATATCATACTGATACAAACACTCTCAACATCTTTCTCCACCGAGGAAACAAAACATACACTCTACGTGTCAACTATTCAACTGATACCTTTCCAACCGCAGTAGAAATCGTTGATCTCAATTCTGATGCAAGATCTGATATAGTCCCGGTAAACACAGATACAGACTTTGTGAATATTTATCTCAATATAGGTAACACTACATTCTTTTCTCACATGAACTACTCACTTGGTGTCGCCCCAAATGCAATGGCAGTTACTGCTATTAATTCCGATTCCAGATTCGATTTACTCACAGTCAACTATCGTAGTAACATTGTCAGTGTTTTCTTCATCTGTTAATTATTCAGTCGGTAGTAATCTAGTGGGCATTGAAATTAGGAATTCGGATGCCGATAATTATCTTGACATAGTCATTGTAAACAACTGGCTTAACGCTGTTTGTTTTCTTCACAATATGGGAGATGGAACATTCTATTCTCAAGTATCTTATCTAACTGGTAGTTCTCCATAATCAGTAGTAATTGCTGATTTGAATCTGGATGGCATGTCTGATATAGTTACAACCAATCCTTATAGTGACGCAATGTCGGTATTTTCTTTCATTGCTAGCATCCTAATTTCTAACAATGGACTACCTATTTACTGAAAAGTTGATTATTTGGTGAACATATTTGCATGACTGATAACGAACTTTGTTATCTTTCTGTCCATATTTTACGGAAATCCTACAGGAAATGTTGATTTATTCAATATTGAACACCTAACACGGCATTGTATTTGTTCTATGTACTGCTCTTTATTCGACGTTCTTTTATGTGTGCTACTTTATATTTCAATGAAATACAAATTGCAGTAGAAGATCTCACTGGTTTCAAAGCAGCAACTAATGCATTGCAGGTGAATAAGAAAAAGAATTAAAACTCAGATCAAAATATTCTTTTTACTGAATAAAATATTATAGAATGAATGTTTTTCATTGAAGAGTAATTTAATAATAATAAAACATTTCTGTCGAGTATATTTTTTGCTTATTTAAATCAAAGTAGATGTGTAAATGCACATCATGTGTATTAAGGCCAGATAAACTGAACATTTTTTGTTTCACTTTTTAAAACACTCATGAACTAACGGATAGAAAAAGCTACTGTTGTATGACAGCGATGCTTTTAAAGATGATTCTACGCTTGAAAGACTAAAATATTCTAATTAGTATATGTGTGCATATCAAAGTCATTGGAAAACCATATTCACTGATTATTTACAGTGCAGGAGCAAGAAGTTTAGCAATGACTTCATCACGTTGACATCTAATTGAAAGGAAAAACCGATTCTGAAATATAAAAGAAGAATGAGGAATAGTTAAACATACCCTTGAATAAATTCTTCTTTGCTTATTTTCTTATCATGGTTTATGTCAAGTTTCTTGATTATTTCTTTCGCACGTTTNTACTGGTGATAAATTCACAATAAAAAGGACCTTTTATATCCTCACGTTTGTTTTACAAAGACAATAAGCTATTTTGTTTGCGAGAGTTAATAAATAGTGGAAGAGAAAAAGTTGTACCGTTTCATCGTACGTGAAGTTGCTAGATCGATTCGCCTCATTAATAGCACACGAAGACAGCATATATGTCTTCCACAGTCGGGAGTGAAGTGAGTGGGCACGACGAACGCTACTTGTTTTACATATCGAAGTAAATGTTTTCTGATCAAGTTGACCTGTCGGACACATTTCAATAAATCCCTAAGCAATCGCATAACAATTCTAAATACTTCTTATTTAACGAATATACTTCATAACACATTTTGATCTCCGTGAGACGAAAACGAAAGCTATAATAAGAATTGAGTATCAAAGCTCTTTTACCTTTGTCACTCAGTTTCGAATTTGTTCAAAGTATAGCCAATTCTAATGTAAAGTTTTGGAAAGACACATTTTCAATTTCAAAACATAGAGATAAATAAACGAACCTTTCGGTGTCAATTCCTTGAATTTTCGTTGTTTATGAGTTGGTGTTGCCTCCATCTTTCACTATTACTTTATCGTTTGTGTGTAGAAAGGTTGTAAGAAAAAGAGTAAACGATATTCTTCAATAAGCAATTTATCAACAAAACCATGTGACAAGTCGTACGAAAGAAAAGTGTAATAGATTGAGATCAGACGTAATCTACCGACACCCTTACGAAAGAGTAAATTATGAAAATCAGATCATATCAGACAATTAATGACAAACAAAAAATACCATATTCGAAATTACATAGGCGTGATAACTCTAATAATTATTTTACTACTTATCAGTAAAGATCTAATATAATGGTATCAGTGTGAAGCTAGCACGAAGAAACTGTGTGTAAGCTAAAAACTTTTTTCCAAAGTTTGTCCGGTGAATAAAAATACCACCATTCGATGCAGAATTAAATTCTGAATCGAATGGACTAGGTTATATGAACCGGACAAACTTTGGAAAAAAGTTTTTAGCTTACACACAGTTTCTTCGTGCTAGCTTCACACTGATATAATTATAATTCTACACCAATACACTCTGTCATTCACTTCTGATTGTTATGGTAGTTCATCTTAGAATTGAGTTTTGTATTGATGCATTCATTTTTAATAAGTGTTGCTTTACTAAAGTCAATAAGAAGAGACCAATAAAATTTCAAGGGAAATCTTATTTATTTGAGGACAAATATGAGCAAATTACAACGGTGTTTTTTTCTCTATGAAGAAATGCACGTTGTACGGAAATCAACATTATCATTTATCAAAAGCTTTTTCTAACTATGATTTTATGAACATACACGTTAGATTCGTATTTATCAGTAGTCAATATTCTTTCCATTTATTCTGTATTTCCTAAACACATAAAGTATTTTGTCACCTGCGCAACATTTTTATCTGCTAATAAATTTATACATCCCTTATGAGATAAAATTCTCAATTGTGACGATAGAGACTCGGCTACAACGATCCATACTATGTTATATTTCTGAATAATGAAAGTAGCCACTAAAAGATCGACAAGTAGAATCAAACGATTACGTAACTATGTTCTAAAACTAAACATCTATGGTGATGAAAGTGATTCGACACTCATTGATCAATTATTGTCGACACGAATATTCCTCATTCTATTATTCATACTTCTGATTCTTATTATAGTTTATATCATTCTTAGTGTTCAAACTCATTCGGTGACTATTCAGTCTCCCTCGGAATCCACTTTCACACAACTGTCTCAACAGTATCCAAGCACACTCTCATGCCCATGTTCACACACATCTGTTCGACATGATCGGTTTCTCTCACTCAATCCTCAGTATCATCCCATTTGTACAAGTCTATTAATTAATCAATCATTTATTTCATTATTATCTTCTGCGAATGTGAGTGAATATCCCAGCGAAGATTATCGAAAAATGGCAACATCTCATTTTCAAATTCTTGCTTTACTTTGTCGAACAGTTCGACAAATGATTGATGATTCTTTCAGTGAATTCCTCTTACAGCATTACACTACTTCAGAAGTTGTCTCAAATGAAACATTCAATGTTCAGATGAATCATCTTGTAGAACAATTGAAAACAACAAATATTGCCAATATAAAATATACAAGAGATTTTCTGTGGTTGAACGTGTTCTACAATGCAATTTATTCGGGATTGAAGACAAACTTTTACGTTAAAGGCTCGGATGGTCACCGTATAACCTACACTTCGCGTTCTTATTCTTTTTCGAACGCGATCTGTAGTTGTCATCGAGCTGCTGATTGCATTACACAAGCTACAATCACAAAGTTAGAATCATCTAATGCGACTATAAATACAACGAAGGCTGTGCAGAATGGAGCGAGTCCCTTTATCATATCTGGTCTAAAAGTCGGCTGTCTGCCATACAACTCATTACTTCAATCGACTCTTGAATGTTTCTTCAATCAATCATACATCGATCGAATTCAAGAATACCTCCCTGCATTAGCCTTCGCCTCTCCGCTCTNATCGAAGTAAATGTTTTCTGATCAAGTTGACCTGTCGGACACATTTCAATAAATCCCTAAGCAATCGCATAACAATCCTAAATACTTCTTATTTAACAAATATACTTCATAACACAGTTTGATCTCTGTGAGGCGAAAACGAAAGCTATAATAAGAATTGAGTATCAAAGCTCTTTTACCTTTGTCACTCAGTTTCGAATTTGTTCGAAGTATAGCCAATTCTAATGTAAAGTTTTGCAAAGACACATTTTTAGTTTCAAAACATAGAGATAAATAAACGAACCTTTCGGCGTCAATTCCTTGAATTTTCGTTGTTTATGATTTGGTGTTGTCTCCATCTTTCACGATTACTTTATCGTTTGTATGGAGAAAAATCGTAAGAAAAAGAGTAAACGACATGCTTCATTAAGCAATTCATCAACAAAGCCATGTGACGAGTCGTACGAAAGAAAAATGTAATAAATTGAGATCAGACGTAATCTACTGACATCCTTACGAAAGAGTAAATTATGAAAGTCAGATCATTTCAGATAATCAATGGCAAACAAAAAATACGATATTCGGAATTACATAGACGTGATAACTCTAATAATTATTTTACTATTTATAAGTAGACATATATGATGCGAAGGGTGAGTGACTAAATTAGAAATACTACTTTCAAACATAGTGTTCTAGTTTTAATGCAACAGTCTAGAAAAGGTCATTCGAATATTCGCGGCATACTTGTACTGACTAAAAGCCATATGGGGTAGTTTTCGTATGAAACTAATAATTCTACACCAATACACTCTGTCATTCATTTCTGATTGTTATGGTGGTTCAACTTAGAATTTAGTTTTTTATCGATGCATTCATTTGTCGTAAGTGTTGCTTTACCGAAATCGATAAGAAGAGACCAATAAAATTTCCAGGGAAATCTCATTTATTTGAGGACAAATATGTGCAAATTAGAACGGTGTTTTTATCTCTATGAAGAAATGCACGCTGTGCGGAGATCAACATTAGCATTTATCAAAAGCTTTTTCTAACTATGATTTTATGAGCATACACGTTAGATTTGTATTTATCAGTAGTCAATATTCTTTCCATTTATTCTGTATATCCTAATTAAATTAAGTATTTTGTCACCTGCGCAACACTTTTACCTGCTAATAAATTTACACATCCCTTATGAAAATAATTTCTCAATTGTGACGATAGAGACTCGGCTACAACAATCCACTATGTTATATTTCTGAATAATGAAAGTAATCACTAAAAGCTTGACAAGTAGAATCAAACGATTACGCAACTATGTTCTGAAACTAAACATCTATGGTGATGAAAATGATTCGACACTCATTGATCAATTATTTTCGACACGAATATTTCTCCTTCTATTATTCATACTTCTGCTTCTTATTATAGTTTATATCATTCTTAGTGTTCAAACTCATTCGGTGACTATTCAGTCTCCCTCAGAATCCACATTCACGCAACTGTTTCAACAGTATCCAAGCACACTCTCATGCCCATGTTCACACACATCTGTTCGACATGATCGGTTCCTCTCGCTCAATCCTCAGTATCATCCCATTTGTACAAGTCGATTAGTTAATCAATCATTTATTTCATTATTATCTTCTGCGAATGTGAGTGAGCATTACGACAATAATTATCGGACAATGGCAACATCTCATTTTCAAATTCTTGCTTTACTTTGTCAGACAGTTCGACAAATGATTGATGATTCTTCCAGTGAATTCTTCTCACAGCATTTCACTACTTCAGAAGTTGTCTCAAATGAAACATTCAATGCTCAGATGAATCATCTTGTAGAACAATTGAAAACAACAAATATTGCCAATATAAAACATACAAGAGATTTTCTGTGGTTGAACGTGTTCTACAATGGAATTTATTCGGGATTGAAAACAAACTTTCGAATTGAACACTCGTATCGTCGTCGTGCAGTCTACACTGTGCATTATTATTCTTCTTTAAACGGGACCTGTGATTGTCGTCGATCTATTGATTGCACTACACAAGCTGCAATCACAAAGTTAGTACCGTCTAATGCAACTGTAAATGCAACGATGCCTGTGCATAATGGAATCAGACTCTTTAACATATCTGGTCTAAAAGTTGGTTGTCTGCCATACAACTCATTACTTCAATCGACTCTTCAATGTTTCTTCAGTCAGTCGTGCATTGATCAAATTCAAGAGTACCTCCCTGCATTAGCCTTCGTCTCTCCGCTCTCTGCTCACTCTCGTTTCCAACAAAATGCAACGGTCAAACATCTTCTCGATCAACTCTTGATCGAATCATGGAATCAAATCAACAATTTCACTGCTTATTTTCAAAGTTGTTCTCCTCACTCATGCACATATTCATATGATCGACGATTCAATATTCTTTATGTCATTATCAAACTCATTGGCATTTTTGGTGGCTTGAAGATGGTGTTGAAGTTCTCTTCTCCACTCATTGTCAAACTTATTCGATGTGTTCAAACGTGTCGATGCATTTGTAAGATAGTGGACAAAAATGAAATACCTATTCAACAAAGTGAGCTATTTCTTTTCATACCAATATTCATTTTTTATTTTACACGAAATAGATACAAAGCATCATCTGGCATCTCTTGTGCGGAAAATAAAAACAAAACTGAAGACACTGAATCTGTTTCCAGTGTTATCTGATGAAACAGATGGATTGTATTCGACACGACTCTACATCATCTCATATATCATTGGAATCATCGTGTTAGTCTTCTATACTTCGATATCAGTTCAGATGCGAAGTATCACTGTACATGAGCCAAGTTTAACCGAATATGAAGGATTGTATGGTAAATATGGCAGAACATTGATCTGTCCATGTCGTCATCTGTCTGTGTCTTATTCTTGGATTATTCATCTCGAAGTCGAATATCATCAAGTATGCTCGAGCGAGTTTATCGACGACAATGCTTGGTTGTCATATTTTAATGCGAATATTCGTTCCTTCTTTGTGTTGGATTTTCGATTTGAAGGTTCAAGGTTATTTCAAATACTTCAGACATTATGTGGATTATCGAATGAAACAGTGAGAAATCAACTGCGTGTGTTTAGTGAAACGCAATTCATCAATGCACATGTTGTGTCAAGAGATACATTCCATATTCAAACATCCATTCTAATCGATCAATTGCAACAACAGGTAATAAAACTTTCATAATATTGCATATTATTCAGAGATAAAAGAAACGATCCTATGAAAGAGGATGCCTAACAGTGGAAGTTCCAAAGGGAGAAAATCGAGACTTCAAATACTTCACCCGTACTTCACCATCATTTCGCTAATACTTCAGTGTACTTCAAATACTATCTGAAATAGATGAAGTCTCGCTTTTTCCTCCTTGAGCAGTTCGCAGTTGCACAGCTTGTTTGTATGAAGCAACATTGGTTATCATAAATTAGGGTTCTGCAAGCGCAAGTACTTAGATAATATACATAGTTTATATTCACGATTCATACGACAATGACGGAAGCAAATCATGATAAATTTGCAGATTTGAATCGAGGATGGAGAAAAATCTTTGATTATTGTAGACTTTTGACTCATTTCTGACAATATTTCAACTGGTTCGCGAATCCATTCAGCTGAATCAATTTGCGCTATTAGGTGAAATGAATTCTCAAATGGGAATATACACCAGAAACAACGGTGCTGTAATACACCGATTTGTGCCAAATAGTGACTACGATTATAACTGTTCATGTGGCCGAAGTATTGACTGTCGACGTTCACAAGGTTTTTACTATGCCGCGTCCGGATATAAATCATGGAAGAATAGACCAAATCAGACTATACCTGGTTTAGTTGTAAGTTGTTTACCTATCGACTCTCTTCTTCTATCAACACTTGAGTGTTTCTACAACTCATCATGCATTCAAATGCTCATCGAATGGCGTTCATTTAACTTCACAGCTCAAACAAATGATTCGCGTTTCACTAACGTCACTCCACTCGATCCAATGCGTAACACTCGTTTTCCATCTAAGATCAAACTCGAAGACATCGTCTCACAGCTATTCATCGAAAAGTGGATCAACAAAACTAACTTCACCGCATTCTATCAGCAATGTGCACCACACACATGTACTTAGACTTTTTAACAGCGNAATCTGTTTCCATTGTTATCTGATGAAACAGATGGATTGTATTCGACACGACTCTACATCATCTCATATATCATTGGAATCATCGTGTTAGTCTTGTATACTTCGATATCAGTTCAGATGCGAAGTATCACTGTACATGAGCCAAGTTTGACCGAATATGAACGATTGTATGGTAAATATGGCAGAACATTGATCTGTCCATGTCGTCATCTGTCTGTGTCTTATTCTTCGATTATTCATCTCGAAGTCGAATATCATCAAGTATGTTCGAGCGAGTTTATCGACGACAATGCTTGGTTGTCATATTTTGGTACGACTATTGGTTCCTTATTTCGGTTGGATTTTCGATTTGAAGGTTCAAAGCTATTTCAAATACTTCAGACATTATGTCGATTATCGAATGAAACAGTGAGAAATCAACTACGTGTGTTTAGTGAAGCGCAATTCATCAATGCACATGTTGTGTCAAGAGATACATTCCATATTCAAACATCCGTTCTAATTGATCAATTGCAACAACAGGTAATAAAACTTTCATAATATTGCCTGTTATTCAGAGATAAAAGAAACGATCCTATGAAAGAGGATGCCTAGCAGTGGAAGTTTCAAAGGGAGAAAATCGAGACTTCAAATACTTCACCCATATTTCACCATCATTTCGCTAATACTTCAATGTACTTCAAATACTATCTGAAATAGACGAAGTCTCGCTTTTTCCTCCTTGAGCAGTTCGCAGTTGCACAGCTTGTCTGCATGAAGCAACATTGGTTATCATAAATTAGGGTTCTGCAAGCGCAAGTACTTAGATAATATGCATAGTTCATATTCACGATTCATACGATAATGACAGAAGCAAATCATGATAAATTTGCAGATTTGAATCGAAGATAGAGAAAGATCTTTGATTATTGTAGACTTTTGACTCATTTATGAGAATATTTCAACTGGTTCGCGCATCCATTGAGCTGAATCAATTTGCGCTATTTGGTGAAACGAATTCTCAATTCGGAATATACATCAGAAACAACGGTACTGTAATACACCGATTTGTGCCAAATAATAACTACGATTATAACTGTTCATGTGGCCGAAGTATTGATTGTCGACGTTCACAAGGTTTTTACTATACCACGTCCGGATATAAATCAACGAAGAATAGACCAAATCAGACTATACCCGGTTTAGTTGTAAGTTGTTTACCTATCGACTCTCTTCTTCTATCAACACTCGAGTGTTTCTACAACTCATCATGTATTGAAATGCTCATCGAATGGCGTTCGTTTAACTTCACAGCTCAAACAAACGATTTACGTTTCACTAACGTCACTCCACTCGATCCAATGCGTAACACTCGTTTTCCACCTACGATCAAACTAGGAGACATCGTCTCACAGCTATTCATCGAAAAGTGGATCAACAAAACTAACTTCACCGCATTCTATCAGCAATGTGCACCACACACATGTACTTATACTTTTGAACAGCGTTTTAATCGTGTG